TCATATAACCCAGCGCCGACAGTTTTTCGTTAGGAGAATTCACACTTTTATTGGAAATGTCTCTCGAGCCTGAATGTTTTTTGATATTTTTTACGTTCTAGCACTCGATAATGTACTTTTGATTAACTGATTCCTATAACATATTGGTTGAGGATTCCATCTATGTACGATAAAACCCAGCGCCGTTAATTTTTCTTAAAGAAAAATCATATTTTTACGAGAAATATTTTTCTAGCCTTACTAATTTTTGTTATTTTCAAAGTTCTAGCACTCGATATTGTATTTTATATTAACGTATTCTCGTAGCCTATTGCTTGAGTAATCCACTGATATATCATATAACCCAGCGCCGATAATTTTTCGTTAAGAAAAATCACACTTTTGTTGGAAATGTCTCTCGAGCCTAAAAGTTTTTTGATATTTTCAACATTCTAGCACTCGATAATGTACTTTTGATTAACTGATTCTTACAGCATATTGGTTGAGGATTCCATCTATGTACGATAAAACCCAGCGCCGTTAATTTTTCTTAAAGAAAAATCATATTTTTACGAGAAATATTTCTCTAGCCTTACTAATTTTTGTTATTTTCAAAGTTCTAGCACTCGATATTGTATTTTATATTGACGTATTCTCGTAGCCTATTGCTTGAGTAATTCACTGATATATCATATAACCCAGCGCCGACAGTTTTTCGTTAGGAGAATTCACACTTTTATTGGAAATGTCTCTCGAGCCTGAATGTTTTTTGATATTTTCAACGTTCTAGCACTCGATAATGTACTTTTGATTAACTAATTCTTATAGCATATTGGTTAAGGATTCCATCTATGTACGATTAAACCCAGCGCCGTTAATTTTTCTTAAAGAAAAATCATAGTTTTACGAGAAATATTTCTCTAGCCTTACTAATTTTTGGTATTTTCAAAGTTCTAGCACTCGATATTGTATTTTATATTGACGTATTCTCGTAGCCTATTGCTTGAGTAATTCACTGATATATCATATAACCCAGCGCCGACAGTTTTTCGTTAGGAGAATTCACACTTTTATTGGAAATGTCTCTTGAGCCTGAATGTTTTTTGATATTTTTTACGTTCTAGCACTCGATAATGTACTTTTGATTAACTGATTCCTATAACATATTGGTTGAGGATTCCATCTATGTACGATAAAACCCAGCGCCGTTAATTTTTCTTAAAGAAAAATCATATTTTTACGAGAAATATTTCTCTAGCCCTACTAATTTTTGTTATTTTCAAAGTTCTAGCACTCGATATTGTATTTTATATTAACGTATTCTCGTAGCCTATTGCTTGAGTAATCCACTGATATATCATATAACCCAGCGCCGATAATTTTTCGTTAAGAAAAATCACACTTTTGTTGGAAATGTCTCTCGAGCCTAAAAGTTTTTTGATATTTTCAACGTTCTAGCACTCGATAATGTACTTTTGATTAACTGATTCTTACAGCATATTGGTTGAGGATTCCATCTATGTACGATAAAACCCAGCGCTGTTAATTTTTCTTAAAGAAAAATCATATTTTTACGAGAAATATTTCTCTAGCCCTACTAATTTTTGTTATTTTCAAAGTTCTAGCACTCGATATTGTATTTTATATTGACGTATTCTCGTAGCCTATTGCTTGAGTAATTGACTGATGTATCATATAACCCAGCGCCGATAGTTTTTCGTTAAGAGAAATCACATTTTTACTGGAAATTATTTGGAGCTTGAAAGTTTTTTGATATTTTCAACGTTCTAGCACTTGATAATGTACTTTTGCTTAACTGATTTTTATAGCATATTGTTTGAGGATTCCATCTATGTACGATAAAACCCAGCGCCGTTAATTTTTCATTAAAAAACAATATGTTTTTTGTGTTAGGTATTACTTTAGCATACAAATATAATAATTCCAACAATCCAGCACTCAATATTGTTTTTTTGATTGATGTGTTCTTGTACCTTATTACTTGAAGAATCTATTTATGTATGATTTAATCCAGCGCCGATCATTTTCCGTTAAGAAAAATTTGAATATATATTTAAAGTTTTTTTTTAAAGTACCTATATTCATATCATTTTTACTAATATTTTTTTCCCAAATACGGATATCCTCACTTTGTTTTTTTTTTTTTTTTTTTTTTTTTTTTTTTTTTTTTTTTTTAATTTGGTGTCATCGGCGTCGACTACTACGGCCATTAGCCTCGTGTTCTGTGTAGGCTTTGTTACTGTTTCCCAGCGCCACTTTAGGAACAGCACTGTTAATTAGAACCCAACAGTGAATGGTCGAGTGGGGAATCCTACCTATGCATTAGAATTAATATTTAATTTTTTTTTTAATTAAATAAAAATTCCTGCCACACCGGTGGGATTCGATCCTGAGACCTTCCGATCTCAAAGCCATGACTCTAACCACTGAGCCAACCCACCCCCTTCCTCACTTTGTTATTATCATTAATATTGTTATTATTACTAATATTATTATAATAAGACAAATTAAGTAGTATTATTGCTTTATTTATGAAATCTAAATTGTACGTATTTTCTCACACAGGCTGCTAACTCTGGCTGCTAGTTTCAGCTTCATTTGGCTTCTTCGGGATACATAGCTGCTGCAATTATTTCTTGTTGGACTTCCTGACGAGCTTCGGAAGATTGATCTATATGATTTTCCAGTCTCATTCCCCGATTCTCGATTTATAGATTGAGCCATGTTTCTACAGGTTCTTAGGAGATATCCGATTTTTTCACAATTGAAGCATCTCCTGCTTCCATTTTAGCTGTTTTGTTGCATATTTTGTAGGATATTTAGAACCTGTGAGAGGGTAGGTTTGGGAATAGCATAAGTATTGGCCTCCTTATTTTCCTGGGATTTAATTCCTTTTACATTTACGCTAGATCTGGATATGAGTTTTACCGCTTTATATTCCTGTGCTGCAATAAGTTTCTCCCTCAGTGTCTTGTGATGTTGTATACGAAGGGCTTGCTGCATTTCCAAATCTTGTAGTCCATCAATAAATGCCTGTATGCTGACTTGTTCTTGTTTTTGTAGACTCTCATTATGTTTCTTGCTACAAACCTTTAGCTGGCTTTGGAATACCCGTTTTAAATGCTGCTGACCATATCTTGTCTTCAAGGCTTGAACGAAAGACGTATAACTGGGTTTCCCTTGAGGGAGTAACTGTAAAACGGTTGCTGTCTGTCATCCCAGCGACACTATCAGTGCAGCCGCCATCTCTTTTCCGCCATTGGCTCTAGCTGCAGCTTCAAATTGAAGGCGACACGTTTCCCATGTTGTCTGACCGTCAAACGTGAGTGGCTTTATGATCTTGCTAGTAGGAATTTGTTAAACTGAGTTTTGAATATGGTTTGCTTCGATTACAGTTTATCTGTTGCTTATCGAAGCTAGGCTACGAATTCTTCTTTTTAACTTAACTAGTTCAGTTCTAATGTGCCTTTCAAACTTTACTCTGGCCTTTTTCTGTCGTTTTAAATTATTTCGTTGTTCTAAATTAGTTTTTAAATGCTCTTTCTGCTGTTTAAAATTAGCTTTAAATGCTCTTTCTTAAAGGCTTTTTGGTTTTGTAGCAAATCATTCACAATTTCTACCCCAGCATTTTTACGGCTCTCTTCCATATCCTCCTCCATCTTAAAAAATCATGCTGGAGAATCTGAAGTATCCATGCCTCTTTTGTACTTAGTGGATCTAGTATTTACCATAAACTTCTATTTTGTGACCCAACGCTGTCACCAATGCTACGCAGGTTTTTGATATCTCAATTTATTTCAACTCAACTTTTACAATAACTATGCCACTGATAACATTAACGTATGACGTCTATCATAAAACTGATCACTGACGTCAGCTTGCTTTCACTTTCTCGAACCTTTTTGAACTGTCTTGACGTGGAAGGACATTTCTTGAACATTCCCCCTTCTTCTTTTACTCGTACCTATACTTGTGACGATCGCAGCATGCTGCTGCGTAACATTAACGAGAATGATTAGTGCTCTGGTAAATCTACATCACGTGGAGAATGAATGGGATAGAAATCGTTAGAATTTACATGTGAATATCGGTTAAATTAAAGAGTTTTATAGGCAAGATTATATCAGTTTAATAGTAATGATAAAACGTAGGGGGTATTGATGTATTTGCCAATATATTATTGATTATTAAACAATTGACTCAATACAACCGTTTCAAATTAATATATTTCCAGCCTTCGTTTATTTACTGGTATTAACCAAAAATTAATCATTTAATTAGTGGCAATCAAATAAATGTAACGTTATTCGACAACTAAGGCGTGACTGACGTAATCGCAAACGTTATTCTTCTTCTTAAATCAGCTAAATCGCGTGGATTAGTTTGGTATAGCATATTTTTCACATATACCCATGAGAAAAAGTCTAAAGGCGTAAGATCAGGTGATCGTAATAACCATTTTATCGAAATTTTTCTCCCTATCCACCGATTTGAAAATATTTGGTTAAGATACTGCCAGACATTGTTTTGGTTATGAACTGGTGCTCCTTGAACGGATGGTATTTTTTAACATCTAGTATTTTTAATTTTGCTAACTGATGCTGTGGGGTTAGTATTAGTGTATTATAACACAGCTTTAATTTTCTCCTCATTTTCAACTAAACACTAACGATATTTGAGTTTTGAAGAACGTCCATAATTTAGCAAATTTAATACCAAATCCACAAAATGACGTGCATTTGGTTGATGCCATTTAGGAAATGTATTTGATTTTTTTTTTAATTTCTGCTGCAGTTACTATGTGTTACGAAGTTGGTTTCTCTAATTTTTTTTTTTTTTCATTGTTCGGGTCGGGTATTTGAAAATAATAATAACAACGTTATTTAAATATAAACAAATTAATCCAAAAAGAAGCAATTAACAAATTCAAAATGTACTAATAAATTTTAATAGAAACAACACAGAAGGCGTTTCAAATTAAACCATCGACATGTTAGATATTATATTTCTAGTATGTTTAAATATTATATATCAAAAATTAGATTATCTGCAGTGGCATTGTTTCTTGTTATCACAATATCCTCCTTTGTGGCGCTGCAAAAGGCAACGAGCTGCGCATGCCGCATCGTTTAGTTTAACTGGTCCTGCCTCAATCGAACCCAATACGTCGCAGGAGAATCTTTTAACTCGACTATGTTCTGAAACAAAAATTTATTTTAAAAATTAAATATATATTTTGTGACCCTGATCAAATAAGTAACGCCTCATGATTAAACTGAAAACTTTTGAATTATTTCATATTTCCTTCGCAGTTGTTATTTAAATAAATGACAAAGTAGCCATGCTGTCGTGCACAGTATGGAAACCAAAGCAATTTTACCATGGTTCACTGCAAATTATTCACAAAAAGAAAAACTCGATTAATTTATGGATACCTAATCTGTCAAGTCTCGTCTGCAATTCGTAATAGACTAAAAACTTTTGAAGAAACTGACAGACCCAAAGTAGATTCATCAATATTATTGTGGGACTATCTTAGGAGATGAGACCATCGAGTATATCCTGTGCGAATTCCCGACGCTATTGGCGACGCTGTAGGCTGGCTCATGATCTAAGAGGCGCCTTTACACTGAGTAGGATGCACAATAGGTCTGGTAAGGCTTACGTGCCGTGGGTTAACCCACTTTCCTCACGTTACAGATACACAGATACACTATCTTATAATAGATTAGGCTACTATGTCTGATAGATATAAGTAATCATAATCAAGATGTAATTTGGGTTTTGTTGATAGAAGTGTTAGTTAATTATTGTCACATATTTCTACAGATAAAATTTTCATTTTATATTGCTAGAGCAGGTAACAATATTATTCTGGTGAATGACAAGTGTCTGTAGATTCAAACATGTACATACGAATTATTAAATCATTCCGCCAGCAATATATTTAAACAAAATATACACATTTTAAAGAGACACTAGATTTAGTAAATAAAAAAATTTAAAGTTCAAATTGATGCAGAAAAAATAATATTGTATGATGAATATCATATTTAATTAAATTGCTTCGTAGACAAAATTGTAAAATCTTTGGTTATTAAAAACCACATAACGCTCACAAAAAAACCATTTTTAAAATGGCATGCATTATAATGTTTTTATTAGAGAAGCTACTTATTTGAATAACATGTGGTTTCAGCAGGACGAAGCCACATCCTGTACATCACGTTAAATAATCATCTCATTTCAAACAAATTTTTATTGTCGCGTTATCTCTAGAATGAATAAATTCAATTCTAAATCTTCTTATTTCACTCTATTTGATTTTTTACAAAGACTTTTTGATGAAAAAAAAGTTATTGTAACTAAACTTCAAATTACTATAAAATGTCTGAAATAGTACCGACATTAAGGGAAAGTGAAAATATTTAGGAACCATATCTTTTATATAATTCTGCAGCAATTTTAATAAACTACTATTAACTTACCTTCGGCCTGCACTTCTTCCACTGGACTACTTATAGCGTTTACAATAAGAACAAACAAAACAAATCCAAGTAATTCGATCTTCATGATGACTATAGATTGTAAATTTGTATTTATTTTGGATGGCTGTCAAGCCCTTATATACTTTGTACTCCATAATCAGTAAAAACATTATGCATCTTAAATTAAAATATTTCAGTATTTGGTTTTTCTTGTATAATTTTTGAATGATAAAAACTTGTTTATTGATAATTATGTAGAATATATTTTCTGTTATCATAATATATTTTTAATATTTTAGAAGTTGCATTTCTTGTCAAAGTATGAACCACTTCTTTTTCAAACAATACTTATAGGCATTTCAACTAATCTTTCACAAAAACCCTGCAGGCATAGTTTAGCAGCTTTTTTGCTATATTCTTTTTAATTGTCCTTTTTCTTCATGATGTTGATTGTAGATAAACAATTAAAGACAAGTGAATAAAGGTATCGTGTCACATTTTTTCAACAATTGGATTTTATAGCTTAATAAAGTCAAATATGCTATGTTTTTCGTTTGTGATAGTTCTGATTTCCAATTTTGAAAAACAGTTGACATTTCTAAGAGATGAAAGTTTCCTGAGCCATATACGATAATGCAACTATAAAACTTTAAACTTGTTTTTATGGAAAATATAATTTTGTGACATTACACCTCTACTTAATTATGTCTTTAATTTCTAGTATTAATAATGTGTTCTATTACTATATCGTTGACAATTCTGATTTCTATGTTATTGTGTAATATATGTCAGGTTCGAAACATAATTGGAGCAGTTTTTTTATCAAGCGAAGAATTATTGAATCGCCCTCCATATTTTGGTGTTAAAAGATTTTGCACATTACCGAAGCGCAATGCCGTTTGTGCAAATGAATACTAGATTTATTTACACATTTAAATATTATTTAATGTTTTATATTTAGTTCAGATTATCTACTTTATAATAAATATATTAATTATTGTTTCATAGGTGTATTCTTATTTAGATGAATTTATAAGTATTTAAGACAGGATTATATTGATAATGGTACATACTGCATCTGACTTGGTAACTTGTCTCGTTGCAAATAAGTTTGGTTAAAATTTTAGCTAGAGTCCAGGACTCTAAGTGGCTGATAATTTTAAAGTTCATCAGACTCTGTAATTTGGGACCTAATATATCGAGAAGAAAATAAAAAGTTAATGTGACAATACAGGCATATATAGAAAAATGATACACTACATTGTGGTACTCTTCATAGTTGTGAGTGGCAGCTTGATAGATAACTACATTATTTACCTCAAAAAAATGTATTACAAAAATAATATTACTTTTTGGTATAAGTATACTACAATCTTATTAGTTTAAATTATACCATTTCCTTTTTATTTTCTACAAACATTATGAGGGACCTATATGTCACACCCAATGACGAAAAACAACTAGACCAATTTTGTTTAAAAAAATCTAAAGCAAACATTCACCGTGTCATCCATGTAGCTGCCAAATTATTTTGGGAAAATGTGAGAGAGTCTTGTTACAAAGTTTGTTTATGGTTACAATTCTTAACTTAACATAAGGATCTACGCACAAAAGGTTTTTAAAATTATATTGAGAAAGTATAGATGCATTCTTAATGGCAGTTTAATGTAGTTTTGTAGTTGCAACTGTCATAGATAAAGTCGATTTCCATGAAAGTAAGCAATTATTTTTGAAATGTGACATCCAGAGATAAAAAGGAGATGTACAGTCTATTCATTGATAAAATATATTATTCATGATGCTCACATTAGTTCGAGAGTTAATACGCCCCACTTGTAGGGCCTTAGTGAAGAGACGCTTGGTGAAACCCAAAAGAAGGATTTTATGGCGATACAATGACATATGTGCAAAATTTTTATAATTTAAAGTAATTTTACCGGAAAAGTTCTAAAACAAAACTTTATTTGGGTAAAAACTCAGAATTTTAGTTAGATTCCTTTCTGGTAGATGACGGTTCGTCTGCGGTGCATTTACCCACATGTTTCACACTACTGGTGCAACAGAGTCGGAATAGTCAGTCGGGCCATTATAGTTTCGATAGCTGTCCATATGTCTGGAGAAATAGAAACCTAAATGTATTTTGTACCATTGGTTTTCCATATTTGTAATTTAGTTTTTATGAAAGGATAGATTCAATGACAGAAATGCAATTATGCCGTTTTAACCCCAATTATTATTATTAAAAAAACTAAGTTTGTGCTTGATCTGCGAATTGTGTCTTTATTGTTCCAATATACACGGTAATTTAAAAATACTTTGACAAACTGCAGAAGGTAATTGTTGGCATAATTTAAGAAATCATAGTTTTCCGTTGGACTGCACTTTACTGAGGGTAGTGCAAAAAATGGTCAGGCTTAATCGTGTAGTGTCCTATCTGACTGCATTTAAAAACATATACAATTTGAAAGTAGCCATTGTGCTCTGGTGCAGCGTGGACCAAAATAAAACTAACTATGTAAGTCAGTAATGTTGGAATTCCTCACTTGTTCACTGTTTTTTTTTTTGCAAATTTTTTTTTATGCTACAGGTGTGTAAAGTAACTTTTTTGGCTCGTGGAATAGATTCCCACTAACCAAAATATATAGCTTTAAATACTATTTGTTACATAAATAACTATTTTCTGCGGACAAAATTGACCAAATTTTGGAGATAAAATGATAGAATTGCAATTTAATTAGAGTTTTCTAGATTTATTTCAAAGAAAATATTGGCAAAGATTCTTGAAACAATTTTAAATGGTATTGTATAGACCATTGTAACGTTTAAAAACGACGTTAATTAGTTCCCACCTCTATTCAGAAATTCGTTTAATTTTTAAAGGGCTAATGTTATCTATTTTGTCTGTCTTTTGTATTGCATACATGTAGGGTCCATAAATTGAATAAATTATTAATTTCTTAAACAAACCTTAAAGGTTTATTTAACTTTTACAGGTTTAGGTATTTACTACAATATTGCTTAATAATCGAAAATGCGCTCCAAACGTAATTTTAATATTTTGTCGTTCGTAATTTGGATATATCAAATTTGAATTTTGAGTCCGTTACTCCCACCACCCGTCATGTCCTGCCGATGGGCCACACACTTTCCTGATTTTTGAACTTGAGCTTGGTACCTCGTGTTTGTTGGTGTGCAGATTGCTAAAAATAATTTTATGGTTTTGTATGCCATCCATCTTGGGATTTATTATTTTAGCATATATTTGTTACAGAGAATTTTCTTAGTTGCATTTGTAGATTTATTGGTTTCGAAAATCTCTAGTAATTTCTTCATTGAAGGATTTGTGCCGCTAATCGCGTTATTTCTATTATCAAGCTGTAAAATCAGGTATGTACATCGTAGTTGTTTTTTTAATTGGGCATTTTTTTTACAATAAAGTAATATTCTATTTTGAGTAATATCTGTATTACTGCTAAGTCATTTTGAGGGTTTTAATAGTAAATTAAAAATTATTAATTTAACGTATATCGTTAAAAGTACTTTGGCCTAATATGTTATTATTTCTTCCTTTTAGAGAGGATAATAAGGCCTTAAACCACTATATAATTTATTGCAGGGTAAGAATTTATATTATTTAAATGTTATTTCTTGATTATCAAAAATCGCTTATGGTGGGCCGATCCCATCTCTATAGGCATTTGCATATTGTTTCGTCGTGGAAGTCTTTCGGTCACTATTCTCAATGTTTTTGATTATTTTTTGTTAAAATATTTTGAGGTCGATTTAAAAATTAATTAAATCAGCTCTTTCTATAGATTATGTTGGAAATTTGCCGTTATGATTTAAAATATTGCAATTTGCAGTATTTACTTTAAAGTCAGTTATATGAAATAAGTTATTGTTTTATATTACCGCTAATATTTTATTGGTTGTTAATTTTTCTTTTTTTACTTTTAATTTTATTTGGAGAAACAAAAAAACTACATTTTCTACTAGGGTTTCTATTATCCCCTTCCTGTAGTCGTCGATTTTCTTTTGGAGTGGGTGATTAATTTGACTCAACGAATTCTCCTGGAAACTAGATTTTTTCCTTTCTTGGATTTTTTTTGGATTGTGATTTTTTTGCTGTAAACGTTAACCAAGGAACTCAAATAAGAAGAAGCTGTCTATTCCTGAGTGGAAGGAATCACGCAAGTTTTTTTTTTTTTTGTTATTGCTATTAGCATTATGTCTTATTTTATTTATTTATTAGCTTATTAGATTAGTTAAAAGCTAACGATTATTTTCAATCTTGTTTGTGACTAAATTCGTCACTAGCTTATTAAGCTTAACTTATAGTTTACTCTTTATAAAGTTTTACTTAAATATTGGTTCACAAGTATTACTCAGTTTATATTAAACATTGTTTGCGTCGCTTACCTGGCTTACAGTTAGGCTGGTAATTTGTAAACTGCGACTAAGGTCTCGTGATATTAATAACTTTTTTTTAATTGTTCTTACTCACGCATGCGCCTGAGCTCAAGCGGTGTGTGCCATAACCTCTCATTCGTACGAAAAGTTGCTACATTACTTAGCGGCTTTAGCAAGCAGTGGTATATAATTTTAAGTAGGTACATAACTAATTATATATCAAGTGTAAAATGTCTGAGGACACATGATTTTTTTTTCTGTCTCAATCTCTAATGTTGGAAATATTTGAATACAGATTTTTAATGTTGATTTATTGAAATTGCTTCTATTATTAAAACTATTTGAATTGGACTTACGAGTTTATTTTACTGCGAGTACATTGAGACTTTTGCGATATACTCTTTGGTAAATTGGGGGTATATCAAGAATATTTGGGGTTAACTTGTTTTCAATTTATCTGGCGCCCTATTACCATCAGTATATTTTTTTGTAGACCGCACGACCGTCTCCACTAGAGTTTTAGCCGCGAGTCATCCCCACTGTTGTCAAATCCAACTTAACATTAACTAGGTTTTGGTATTTATTGAAAATTAATACATATAATTTGGTGAAGTTGCTAAGTTAAATTTGATATAACTAATAATTTAAAGTTTTTTTGTGTTTAATTGCAATAAAATAGGTTGAATTATTTTAGCTTTTTTTAAGATATGTAAATGTAAATAATTTTGTATAAGAAACGAGAATAATGAAATATAC